GGCTTTTTGGCTTACTGCCAGGGCATGCTTTCTCACAGTAGGACCTCTGCCCTCCCTGCTAGCTGAAACAAAATAATTTAAAATTCATTTTTCACTTTGTTTTTATTGAGGAAAAAACTTCAGTAGTGGCCCTGGAATGTTGGAGGCTAGGTAGACCTAGCCTTTAATGTCATCAGGGTCCTTCCTGGCTGTTGGGCCTTTCACCCATTGTCCTCATGGTGTGTATGATGAGCTTTTATCTCCTTCCTGACTTAGTTGTGTTAAGTTGAATACTAGGTAGAATAATAGTGCCTACTGTATAATAGACATGTTTTAGTCACTTTACATATATTAATGAATCTTCACACCAACCCTGTAAGATAGGTAATATCTCCCATTTAATTGTTTTTTAAAGATCTTGAATTTGTTAGAGAAATAGGGAGGGAGAGAAATATCCGTGTGCAAGAGATACATCAATCAGTTGCCTCTTGTACACTCCCAACTGGGGACCTGGCCTGCAACCCAGGTGTGTGCCCTGACTAGGAATCGCCGTTAACCTTTTGATTTGCAGCCGGCATTCAGTCCACTGAGCCACACCAGCCAAGGATCTTTTAATTTTTTTTAAGGTTTCATTTATTTTAGAGGGAAAGGGAGGGAGAAAGAGGGATAGCAATATTGATTAGTTTCCTCTCACACTCCCCCAACCAGAGACCTTTCAGTTCGTGAGATGGCACCCAACCCTCTGAGCCACGCTAGTTAGGGCACATACTCCCATTTTATGATGGGGAATTGAAAGCATAGATAAAGAAGCTTGTTGAAGGGTGACGAAGTGGTTAAGTAGAGACTTAGACTTCCTTTGTAAGCAGTCTGGCTATAGAAGCCGTGCCATTAGAGCTGGATATGCTGGCTGGATTGAGGTGTAAGGTGGAAAAGGTCTTGGGACAGGGCCTCTGGAGACTCTGCTGTGTTCATACTTAGTTTTTAGCTTCCTGCTTATCCCAGTCAAAAGCCCTCAGCTTTTCCTCTTCTGTAAGGAGCTCTAAGATACACCTACCTACTTTTTGTTGAAGTTCTTGCCTTTGCAATGTTGATAACTCCCTTGAGTTTTAAAACCTTAGGTTAATTCTGAAATAAGTAAAAAAGATCTTGGAAGAGATAGTGCTTGTGCCCTGAGTGATGTGGCTCAATTGGCTGGGAGTCAGCCCACAAAGCGAAAGGTCACGGGTTCAATTCCCAGTCAGGGTAGTGCCTGTGTTTGGTCCCCTCTCAGGGCACATACAAGAGGCAACTGATCATTGTTTCCCTCTCTCCCACTCTCTTAAAAACAAAGAAAAAATGAAAAATACCATCTTTATAAAACAAAAAAGTGAAACCATGAGAGTACTGGAAGAGTATGACTTTAAAATACATTGTGGGGGAATAATAAATGCAACTACATTAAAAAGTTTGTATGGCAAAAGACTAAACGGGACAGGGAGGATGTTTCAACAGTATGAGTTGATTTCCTGAAGATACATTTAGGACTTGGCAGTTGAGAAGAAAGGGTCTATAGAAAAATAGGCAAGAGTGGACTTCTGGCCAAGATGGAAGTGTAGGTAGATAGACTTTGCTTCCTTACATAACTGAAAGGAGGACAACCACCACCAATTTAAGAAAATAAAAAAAACAACTGCCAGAAAATCGAACTGTGTGGGAGTTCAACAACCAAGGAGTTGAATAAGAAACATCCAGACCAGTAGGAGAGACAGGTAGCTGGGGCAGAGAGGCCACCTGGCAAGGCTGCAGCTGGCAGACCAGGCAGGCAGGTAGGCAAGGTGGTCCCACATTTGCATGCAGATAAACTGGGAGGAACAACAGGGGAGTGAGACCATGCTGTCCAGGGTTCCAGCATGGAGAAATAAAGCCTCAAAACCTCTGGCTGTAAAAACCTGTGGGGGTTGAGGCAGCAGGAGAAGCTCCCAGTCTCACAGGTGAGTCCCTTGGAGGGACCCACAGGGTCTTAGAATATACACAGACCCACCCACCTGGGAATCAGTGCTAGAAGGGCACAATTCATTTGTGGGTAGTGGAGGAAGTGACTGAAAGTGGGGTAAGAGCCCAGCAAGCAGCACTGTGCTCTCTCTGACCCCTGCCCCACACACAATGCCACAACATAGTGCCATGGGTTGCCCCACCCTGGTGAATACCTAAGGCTCCGCCCCTTACAATGTAACAGGTTCTCTGAGACAAATATGACTCAAAATGAAAGCACAGATCAAAGCTCGAGAAAAACCTGGCTAGTGTGGCACAGTGGATTGAGTGCTGGCCTGGGCACCAAAGCGTGGGTTCCATTCCCAGTCTACAGCACATGTGTCAGTTGTGGAACAGGTCCCCAGTAGAGGGCACTTGAGAGGCAACCACATACTGATGTTTCTCCCTCTCTTCCTCCCTTCCCCTCCTTAAAAATATATATTTTTTTAATTTATAAAAAAGAAAAAACTCCAGAAGAAGAACTAGGCTACAAGGAGAGAGCCAACCTATCAGATACAGAGTTCAAAACACTGGTAATCAGGATGCTCACAGAAATGATTGAGTATGGACACAAAATGAAGGAAGAAGTGAAGGCTATGCAAAGTGAAATACAGAAAAACATACAGGGAACCAAGAGTGAAGGGAAGGAAACTGGGACTCAAACCCACCATTTGGAACGGAAGGAAGAAACAAGAATTCAAAAAACTGAGGAGAGGCCGTGGAACCTCCAGGACAACTTTAAACATTCCAACATCTGAATCATGGGGGTGCCAGGAGGAGAAAGGAAGAGCAAGAAATGGAAAACTTATTTGAAAACATAATGAAGGAGAACTTCCCCGATCTAGAGAAGGAAATAGACTTCCAGGAAGTCCAGGAAGCTCAGAGAGTCCCAAAGAATTTGGACCCAAGGAAGCACACACCAAGGCACATCATAATTACATTAGCCAAGATTAAAGTTAAGGAGAGATCTTAAAGCAGCAAGACAAAAGGAGAGTGACCTACAAAGGAGTTCCCATAAGACCATCAGCTGATTTCTCAAAGGAAACCTTGCAGGCAAGAAGGGGCTGGAAAGAAGTATTCAAAGTCACGAAAGGCAAGGACCTACATTGCAAGGTTACTGTATCCAGCAAAGCTATCATTTAGAATGGAAGGGCAGATAAAGTGCTTCCTGGATAAGGTCGGGTTAAAGGAGTTCATCATCATCATCAAGCCCTTATTACATAAAATGTTAAAGGGACTTAATCTAAGAAAAAGAAGGTGATCAAAAATATGAACAGTAAAATGACAACAAACTCACAACTATCAAAGACTGAACAAAAAAAACCCTAAGCAAACAACTAGAACAGGAACAGAATCACAGAAATGAAGATCACATTGAGAGTTATCAGCAGAGAAGGGGTTGGGAGAGAATGGGGGAAAAGGTACAGAGAATAAAAAGCATAAATGGTAGGTACAAAATAGACAGGGGGTTGCCCTGGCTGGTGTGGCTCACTGGATTGAGTGCTGGCCGGGAACCAAAGGGTCACTGGTTCTGTTCCTAATGTAGGGAAGGTTCCTGCATTGCAGGCCAGGGTCCCCAGTAGGGGGTGCACAAGAGGCAACCACACATTGATGTTTCTCTCCCTCTCTCCCTCACTTCCCCTCTCTAAATAAAATCTTTTTTAAAATAGGGGGAGATTAAGAATAGTATAGGAAATGGAGAAGCTGAAGAACTTACGTATACAACCCATGGATGTGAACTAAGGTGGGGAATGTTGGAGGGAGGGATGGAGGCTGGGTGCAGGACAAAGGGGATAAAGGGAAAGGGAAAAAAATGGGACAACTATAATAGCATAATTACTAAAATTTACTTTGAAAAAAGAAAAGAAAAATAAGCAAAGGGTGTAAATGACCCCAGAAAAGCAAAAATAAATAAAACATGAAGGGAGGCTTAACCTTAGTCCTAGGGATATGCAAATTATGTAAGTTTTATAAATACTTGGCAAGGGTGTAGGGGAATGGGTTTCAACACACGCTTTGAGCAGCAATTGGTAAGCCTCACAGGGCAGTTTGACCTGGCAATTCCACTCCTGGGTGTTTATCCTATGGATTTGGATTCAAATACATATGAAATGCTGTACATACTGGGATATTCCTTTCAACATTGTTTGCCACCGTGAAATGTTGGAACTAGGAAGGTTCTGGCTAAATAATATCCATGGAACGTTCCCCTGCAATGAAAGACTTATGGAGAATGTGACAGCTCCAAGTGCATTGATGCAGAAGAGTGTTCAATATTCAGGTGAAACAACAAACTGCAGACCAATGGATGCCCTTTTATGATGTGCACACCTATGTATGTGATAGGTATTATATACCTGAGAATGCATGGAATACCTTCAGAAGGACACAAACTGGTAATGGTGGTTGTCTCAGGAAGGAGCCAGGTTGCTGCAGAATAGAGGTGATATACTCTATGGCATCTTGAGAATTTTGTGCCATGTGCATTTATTATTAGTGAAAACAATTTTAAGCTTGAGAGGAAAAAAAAGAACAAAGTGTTCATTAAGTCAGGCATGAGCTCTTTTTGACAAATAACATGTTCTGTTCTCATATCATATTTTCAGAGGTATCCTTTTTCCTCAGCTCTCCCTGGGGGCTCAATAAATAATAATTGGCATAAAGAACCTTCTAGAGTGTGCTGTCTTCCCCACATAATTCCTTTAATTCCTCTCTGTGCTTTCCCTACTAGAGTCATTTTTGGGGATCCCATTTGGCTCTACACATCATGCCCACTTACAGGTAACTGACTATTCAGTGCGATCAGTTGGGTAGAGAGGATGGGAGTATGTCTACTTGTCTGTCTAGTCTGGAATGCCTTTCTTGCCAGCCAGGTTGGGGGTGACAAACTTCTAACCTTTCTGATTCTGTTCTCACTGAAGCCTAGACCTGGGTTGAGTGAGGCGATCTCTTTAAGAACTGGCGTAATGGTCCCGCCCTTTAAAGAGATCAGCTGAATGTAAGTCACATGACTCTGGTGTCTTCCGATCTCTGAAGCTGGGGCTGCATGCGTAGCTGTGAGGAACCCCGCTGGGGTTGGGGCCGCTATGACCCCAGCCCCATTCTCTTCCTGAGTCTTCTGTCCGCAGCTCCATTTGGCCTGCTGGGGGAAGAGACCCGCCAGGTGAGGGGCTTGAGCATTAGAGGTTTCAGGAAATGCTACCCTTGAAGCTGGTTTGGAATCTAGGGCAGCGGGTGGGGCAGGGAGGGGGGGTATGGGGGTGTGGCCCAGGGAGTGGCTGCATAGAGAAGAGTTCTTCATCTTGGGGCTGGGTATGAGGGCTTCCTGTCTTCTGGGAAGTCTGGACCCTGACTCAGCCCTGAGTGACCCAGGTGCAGCAGTGTTAGTTTTTTCCTTCTCTTATCTCTGTTCTGATCTCTTAACCTGGGTCCAGGCAGTTCTGGCTCTTCCTCTCCTTCACCCACCTCTACCCTTGCACCAAGATTGCCTTTGCCCCCACATGAATTTCTCTTGTCTAGGTCCCACCTTGTCCCCAGCATTTCCCAAGTTCCCTGCCTCTCCCCGCAAGCTTCTCCTTTGCCCTGTGTCTCTCCCTAATCCTGTTTTCTCCACTCTCCCGTACGCCAATGTTCCAGGTGTCTCTGGTGGTCATCCCTAACGATGTGGGCCCCCCCCAGAACCTGCTTCATATCCGGGCAGTGGGCACCAACTCCACGCTGCACTATGTGTGGAGCAGCCTCGGGCCTCCAGCGGTGCTGCTGGTGGCCACCAATACTCCCCACAGCATCCTGAGTGTCAACTGGAGCCGCCTGCTGTCCCCTGAGCCTGACGGGGGCCTGATGGTGCTCCCTAAGGACAGCATCCAGTTTTCTTCTGCCCTTGTCTTTACCAGGGTGAGGAGGTTGGGGGAGAACCGAGGGGAAGAGGAGAAGGTTCATCAAATTAGAGGAACGGAAGCCTGGGTGGGTGAAGCAGAGTCAGATGTGAGATTCTGGGCATGGGTTCCAGTGAGTGCTGGGTGGGGGGCATGCTTCAGGAGAGTGCTGGACTCAGGCAAGCCCCTCCCCGCCCCACTCCACCTGCCAGCTATTTGAGTTCGACAGCACCAACTCGTCTGATGTAGCAGCAAAGCCTCCAGGAAAACCATACCCCCCATACGCCTTGGCCGACTTCTCCTGGAACAACATCACTGACTCACTGGATCCTGCCACCCTGAACGCCACCTTTCGAGGCCACCCCAATCATGACCCCACCGGGGCTTTTGCCAATGGCAGCCTGGCCTTCAGGGTAAGGGTGTGGGAGTAGACAAACTCAAAAGCTGGTTTATGAGGGTGGGAGTTAATGATGGGGGCGGCCTTCAAGCACAAGCTACCATCTGCTTCCTACGCCCCCCTGCCTCATCTGTCCTAGGTGCAGGCCTTCTCCAGATCTGGCCGATCGGCCCAACCCCCTCGCCTCCTGCACACGGTGGACACCTGCCAGCTAGAGGTGGCCCTGATTGGGGTCTCTCCCCGAGGAAACCGCTCCCTTTTTGGGCTGGAAGTGGCCACCTTGGGCCAGGGCCCCAACTGCCCCTCACTGAGAGAGCAGCACTCCATCGACGATGAATATGCACCGGCTGTCTTCCAGGTCAGGCTGCCAGCGGAGAGATGGTGGGGGATGTAGATGGAACCCCAGGTAGCACCTCAGACAATCATTCAACCACTTACCATTTAGCAACACTTTATTTAGCTCTCTTAAGTGCTGGGCACCATGCTAATGAATTTGGCCCGGACGGACAGAAGGCAGGCAGTGCAGGCAGGACTCAGTGCTCTGACAAGGGGGATGTGCAGGGGCCTAGGGACCCAGAGGAGGAAGTGAGCTCAGGCTTGCAGAGAGACAGGGCTGGAAAAGCATGTGTGTTCACCCAGTCCAACTCCCCTCTCTACAGAGGAAAGGTTGAGGTTCTGGCGCAACAGCCTTTGAGTTCTAGAACCAGGCCTAGGACTCAGGACAACTAGTGACAGGTGGAGTCCGAGAAAGGGTGGGGTACAGAAGGGTCAGACACAGGGCCATCCTCCTTACCTTGCCTCGTGTGCCTTCCTCCCTAGCTGGACCAGCTACTATGGGACTCCCACCCATCAGGATTTGTGCAGTGGCGACCAGTGGCTTTCTCCCAGAGGCAGGGGAGCCGAGAATCAGCCCTTCCCTGCCAAGCTTCCCCTGTTTATCCCACCTTGGCATACCTTCTCCCCCAGTCACCTATTGTCCGAGCCTTCTTTGGGTCCCAGAACAACTTCTGTGTCTTCAATCTGACCTTTGGGGCTTCTACAGGCCCTGGTTACTGGGACCAACACTACCTCAGCTGGTGAGAGTCGGGTCCTGGGCAAGGGTTCGGGAGGTTGAAGGGGCAGAGGACTGGGCCTCTCAGCCTTCCCTCCTAAGCCTGCTTGCTTCTCTTTCCCTGCTCTCCCTAGGTCGATGCTCCTGGGTGTGGGTACCCCTCCAGTGGATGCCTTGTCCCCGCTTGTCATAGGAATCATGGTGGTGGCCCTGGGTGCCCCAGGGCTCATGCTGCTGGCAGGAGGTCTGTTTCTGCTGCTGGGCCCCAAGAGGTACTCAGAATACCAGCCCATAAATTGAAGCCCATTCTTTAAAGGGCTTCAATACTACTGGACCTGTGTGCTGTGCCTCAAACCCCTGCAGGTTTGAGGGTCAGTGTTCCCAGCCAGCTTCTCCCATCTTGCTTTACTACAGAAACTCAGAGACTAGCCTCAAGTCCTGGGAACCACTGGGTGGGGCTTCCTTCAGACTCTGGAGAGGGACCAGGGACAGGGTTATTGCTGGAGAGAGGGTGCCCTTAGAGTTGGCTCCCTGCCCCTCCAGCCCCCACTTCTCTAGGATGGGACTCACAGGCCAAAATGAAAGGCTTTCTGATGGCTGCTGCCTTGCGGGCATGAAATAGACTTATTTTTTCCACAGGGCTTGCCTCTCTGTGTGCGAGTGTTATTGGGTTGATTCCACAGAATGAGAGGGCTAATAGATGGGTGTGGAAGGCAGGTTTCTGCGTATGGCCCCGTTTTCTCACCAGGTATAGTTCTCTGTCCTGACATGAGACTGAGGTTCCTGCCAGCCACTCTCCATCATGTGCAGCAGGGAGGCTTCTGGGGCAGTAAGAATCAAACAAGGAAGGGACACTTGAGACCAGGGTGCAAGCACGAAGAAGGAAACCAAGTAAGACTGTGGTAGTCGTTTATTGTTACACCCACCCCCACGCACACCTCACATGGAGCCAACACCAACCATGTGCCTCCCAACCCCTCTCCGGCCACCACATACACGGATGCAGACAGACGGACACACACTCCTCTTGGGTTTTCCTGTCTGCTCCTCTCTTCTGAGCAGTTTGGAGGTGGGACTTTACAGGGGCCTAGTTGGCTGGAGGGGAGAAAGCAGCAGCTTTGGGCTGGGGCAGTTGTAATAGTCTTCGCTGAGGCTAAAGGACCTGTGAGGGCCAGTCGTGGAAGGTCCTCAACCCAGGCCCCCAGGATGGTTTTATGGGACATAAGAGTCCTATTTGACCTGATGTCCAGCCTTTACCTTTAGGCATGAGCAATATTTCCAGTCTCTGTGAGGCCCTCCGCTTAGACAACTGGCACAGCAACGGTCAGAGTTTTGGCTGCAGCTCTGCCCACTGCCTCATAGGAGGCTGGAGAGTGAAGCCGAGTCCAGCAGGGGTGGGCCCTAGTGGCTATGGTGGGAGGCTGCTCAGGAAGGAACTTCCTCCTGCTTCTCCTCCTGGCCCTAGCCCCACACCTTCAGCATCCTTAAGGAACATGGCTGTCCACCTCCTTCCCTGCGAGACGATGTCAGTCTACCTCCCCCACTCATGACCACCCCGGGCCCAGAAGGTGAAGGGCAGCCCTGACCGAGGGAGAAAGGTGGGGGCAGTCCAAACTCTGATTGGATGGGACCCTGTCAGGTCAGCGGGGTTCATCCCATGCAGGTACCCAGGCTGGGGACGGGATAGCTGCTCAGCCCCAGGGGCGGGGCCTGTAGTCCGAGCGGGCGTAGTCAGGGTAGTCCAGGCGGCTCTCGGTGGCAGTGAACATGCGCTCAGGCTCCACCACAAACATGTAGTAGAGGTTCCACACTAGCATGGACAGCAGGGGCAGGAACGTCAGGCCATAGCCAAAGCCTCGGAAGGAGCGGCCCACGGCGAAGGTCAGCCAGTATATCAGCCTGCCAGGGTGAGAAAAGGTCAGGCTACCCCCAGGGTAGCTAACTGGCAGTAGGCGAAGGTGGGAAGAACAGAGGGCCAGGGAGGTAGATGGGTGCTGGTGGATACGACTGATACTTTACGTGGTTCAAAATTCAGAGGTACCAATGCTTCTAGTCAAATGTCTTCCCCCTCTACTGACTGACCCACAGCCTCTTTTCGCTCTCTTCCCTCTACTCCACTCCAACCCCGACCCCCATCATCCAATATTACGGGGTTTTGTGCAAGAAGTGATTTTTTATATGTATATGAGCAAAAAGATTTGTTTTCCTCCCTCCCCCAGTTCTGCACATTGACTTTTCTCCCATTTTGTATATCTTAGGGATTATTTTTATCAGCATATAAACATCTTCCTCATTTCCCCTTTTGCAGATGAAGAAACTAAAATTCCAAAGGGGTTGAGTAAGACTGATTCAAGGTCACACATCTGGGAAATACCAAAACTGTGATTTGAACCCAACCCTGTTCATCACCCTCTCCTTCCATTTCAAAGAGGCAGAAGAAAAGAAGAGAGTAAGGAAGGCAGCTTCAGGAGGGCTTAAAGCCCAGAGGAATAAATGAGCCATAACCACAGCTCCCCTCTTATAAGATCCACTCAAAATATATACCCCTCTGGGAGAGGGCAGCAGCTTCCTCTTAATATATGAAGGACCACTTATTACAGAATTGATGTGCCTGTGTATTTTCACCTGTTAAACAGGGAAGAGTGGCTACTGTTTCTCTGCTGCACCAGCAGGCAGCATGTTCTTCTGGTGCAGCAGAGCTAATGAAAGTTCACATTTAGCAAACCGTTACCCAGCACTAGGCTACTGTACACACTCTACATGAATGAACTCATTTAATCCTCACGACTCCATTTTATAGATGATATGGATGATGAAACCGAGACATGAAATGCTTAAGTGACTTGCCCATGGTAGAGAACAGAACCTTGGATAAGGGAGGGAAAGGACTAGGATTCCCATCCTGCCTTTTCCGCTGGCTGACCTGAACAGCTGTTCTCCCCAATCTGTCATGATTCCCTCTCTATGAAATGGGTCAGATGGACCAGACAATCGCTGAGTCTTCTTTAGCTCCCTGATGATTCTTACTGCTTAAGCCAACCTGTATCTGAGACCAGCATTCCCCTACAGGGAGGTGGGGTTACGTGAGCTGAACATTTATCTCAGGAAATATCTAATGCAGGGCTGGCTGATAGGAGGGTGGAGGGGTTGGTGACCACTAGACTACACTCAGAAGTAACAGGAAGACAAGCCCTGGCTGGTGTGGCTCAGTCGACTGAGTGCCAGCCTGCAAACCCAAACCTGAAGTAACAAATTTTAGCTCGATAGGAAGAATGTTTTAGCAGTTAAAGCAATCTGGAGTTGTATATCAAAAGTGACAAAAGGAAACATATTACAGAAAAAAATGTAAAGACCTGCATTTATTTGGCTTCAGAAATTAAAAGGTACCTTCTGAGTTAACTGGGGTTCACCTAAAAGTACCCCTAAGGATTTCAGGTGACTATAAATTCTAAATGAAAGGAGAGTGATGTGGCTGCCATGAGAGCTAATGCAGATTTGGTTTGTATGAACAGAAGGACAATACCCTTGACAAGCACGAGAAATTCCTGCCTGAAGGACCCAGGACAGTGAAGGGATCAGGGCCACTTGGCAGAGTAAACACTAGGGGGGGCAGGCTGTTCGACTGGGGGAATTAAGAGCTGTTGTCAAATGTCCAAATTTGTCCTAGGCAATTCCAGAGATCAATCAGGGCAGCGGTTTATAGCACAACGTAAGGAACTGTAGTAATGAGAACCCTTGAAGAATGAAACAGACTGCCTTACAAAGAACTGAACACTTGGGTAGAGGGGGTGTTCATCTACAGGCTAACGGCTACCTGATCAGACTGTCACAGAGGAGTGGCTGCAATAGGTGAGAGGTTGGTCTGCATGACACCCGAAAGCCCTTTCAGTTCTAGATGGTATAAGTATCTCTGAAATCAACTTCCAGTAGGAAGACATACAGGCTGATCACCTGCCACTAGGTAAGATAGGATGCAAGGGAGAGAGTGAACTCACCTTTCCAGGGCACACATTTGGGCTGATGCAGGATCCAGAGAGCTCCCTGTCCCTGGCTCACCAGACATTCAGACTTGGGTCCCTCCGGCACCATTACCTTCCCTGTGCCCCACCCCCATCCCCAACTCACCGGGAGACCGCAAAGAGGCCGGTGAGCAGAGGGAGCAGTTTGAGGGTATCTTGGGGCAGGTAGGTGGAAAGCACAGCCAGGTTGAAGAAGTAGAGGATGAAGAGCTGGACTGACTGGGTCACATACTGCCGGTGGATCTCCACCTCCCGCCGTGGCTCCCCAAACGGTCGCAGCGCAGAAAAACACAACAGGCTCAGCCCATACACCAGGATCCCTGGGTTGGGGGTGGGAGCGTGGAGAATAGAACTAGGTCAGAATAGAACCATAGGCAGGAAGCAAGGGCAGGGTTTGTAGTGGAGAGCTCATGGGCATGGGTTTTCCACAGGGGGTCCTGGGAGGGGACAGGCACACCCTGCCTAGGGTGGCAGGGTGTTCGAGGCCCTGAGGGTTCAGGTTGAGTGAAGGGAAACTCTCCTGCTCCCCAAGCCAGGTAGGCTCTGACCTCAAGTCCAGTTTTCAGACGCCCCATTCCCTCAGGGCCCCAGCTCACCCAACACGATGGGGAAGGTGGCGAAGACCCCGCAGCGCAGCGTGTAGATGAGGCGGGAACTCATGGTGGGCAGCCGGGGGGCATCGAAGGGCAGGAAGGTGTATGCTCCGTATAGCAGGCAGGGGAAGAGGATGAGGGCGGCTCCCACTGAGGCCACGGCCCTCAACCCCTCATGACCCCCACAGCTCCTGCAGCTGCTACAGGCGTGGCCTGGTGGCCTTACCACAGCCTCAGCCCACTTGCACTCAGAGGGCTCTGGGTGGGCGGTTCGGATGGGCAAGAAGGTCTGGTGGCGCTCGCCCTCACCTGCCTCACAGCACACGAGGTCCTCCTGAGGCCGCCGCTCAATGCATTGCAGGTCGATGGGCACAAAGGCCCGGACTGCCTTTTCAGGCAGCAGGTTGGCGTCATCTTCAGGCAACTCCTCTAGCTTACTGAGTGGCTCCGACTGCAGGGGCTCAGGCTCAATGTCCCGCCAGCCAGGGGGGTCCGGGAATGGGGTGCTGAGCTGGGGGCCAGCCCCCCAGGGCAAGGTGGCAGCCTCACTTACTGTGCTGTCTAGACCATCCTCAGCCTCCTCTCCAGCTGTGGGAGACCCAGCTGAAGACCCCACTCTAGAGGACTCAGCACCGGGGGATTTGACCCCACTCTCCCCTTCTGGCTGCTGGCCATTGGGGACCAAGGCCTGGGGTGGGCTCTTCTCCGGGGCCTCAGGCCCCTTCACTTCCAGCAGGGCCAGGGTCTCGGGTTCTGTCATCCTGGGACCTCAGTTCTGGAGGCTATGGTGAGGTCATGTCACTGTGGAGGTTAGCAGAGGAAAACTGTCAGAAGCTCCTCTGGCCCTTCGGATGGGTTGATAGAACTGAAACTCTCCAGGGCAGCTGACCTCATGGGATTTAGCCCCTTCTGGGACCTTAGGGAGAACACGGTATGGAGGAAGGTGTTGAAAGAGAAGGAAACAGGATGGAAGTGAGCAGCTGAAATGGAGACACCCTTTCAACATCAAATGCAGTCCGGCAGGATAGGGTGCATCAGAGGGCACAGGCCCTGGCAGCTTTGGCCTCAGCCAGTCCCCACCCACACCTTCTACCCACCTCCACCAAAACCCCTAGGGTCATTGCCACCCTAATGCAAGAATGGGAGGAAGAGGAGGTGTCTAGAATTTTGTTAAGAGCTCCTTTCCCACTAAGGATCTCCTTGTGGACAGAGAGGCTGCCCCCTTCACCTTCAAACCTCCCCTTCTCCCTGCAGATCCCCACTTGGAACTTTCCTGGCAACTGATACTAGTGATCTGCTGACAAATCTGTCCCAAAGAACTGGCAAAAGAAGTGTACCCTATTCTTCAGTCTCCAGTCTGGGTACTGGGCAATCTCTAAACTCCTCACTAGCTCACCTCATCCATCTCCAGAGGGCCTAGATCTGTGCATTCTGACTCCTAAGTCCAATCATGGCTGTTTCCTATGCCTCTGCTCCTGTCTTTCTCCTCACCCTGCCATTCCTCCTCTCACTGCTTCCTGATGGGTCTGACACCCTCCCTCCACCTCCTGAAAGGTCTCCTACCCCTTGCCATTTGGACCCATGACCTCCTCTTACTTTCCATCTGGAGAGAGGTGGAGGGTCCCCAGCTTCTGTGAAGGAGCTGCCCAGCTCCCTGCTGGCTCTGCAAGTATTCCTTTCTTTTGCTTTACCTGTGTCTCCAAACCAGTCTGACCAGAGCAGGTGGGGCCCAGATTAAAGGGGCAGGCCCTGCCCTACTGAATCTGCCGACAGAAAAAGCATTAGAGGAGGATGTCATCCTTTCTGAAAGTGGAGGTGCAGCTGGGTGTAGAAGTAAGTGTGTGTATTAGGCAAATGGGATATATTGGAGCTCCCAGCTCAGGAAAAAAAGAGGGGGACCATCGTGTTTGTGCATCAAAGGATATTTGCAGTAGTTCAGAATACCCAGAAAAGAGGTGGAATTTCTACACTTATTCATTCAATATTTATTGAGCACCTAGTTTTAGCTAGGCACTATTCTAGGCACAGACAGGGGAGAGAACAAGATGACAGGCAAGGACTCTGCTCTTGAGGAGCTTGTTCTACTGGCATAACATAATAAAGAAGCCTAGCAACTAAATCAGTAAGACTGGCCCTGGCTGGTGTGGCTCAGTGGATTCATTGTCAGTCTGTGAACCAAAGGCTCACTGGTTCAATTCCCAATCAGGACACACACCTGGGTTGCTGGCCAGGTCAGCCCAGTGGGGTCCTCTTGAGAGGCCACCACACATTGATGTTTCTCTCCCTCTCTTTCTCCCTCTCTTACCCTCTATAAAAATAAGTAAGTAAATAAATAAATAAATAAAATCTTAAATCAATAACACTATTTCGGTAGGAAAAACCTCTTTTCCAAGGTGCCATTTGAGCTGAGACTTGAAGGGAAATGAGGAGTATGAAAGTTTCAGGCAGAGGAACAGAAAGTGAAAGACCAATGAGAGGAAAGACTTGGGCTGTTTCAGGAACAGAAAGAAGGTTGGTGGCTGGAACCAGGAGCATAGTAGTGGAAGGGGGATTTATGTTCCCATTACAACAGGTACACAGGGTCCCTAAACTCCTTGCTTTTTAGCTTAGGTTTAAGGCCAAGAAAGCAATAGGAATCCAAGTTGATCTTTCCAGTGGGAGGACCAGGGGGCAGAACCGCGAGGGAGTGGCTTATTCCTGTGGGACCTTACCTCTAAAGTCATTTGAGCTTTGTGAGGGCGGGAGAGTGACTGGGTTGCTCATCTTTGTGTCTCCAGAACCCAGCATTGTGGCTGGAAAACAGGTGTTCAATAAATGTTTGCTAGACTGTAAATCTTTGGGAGGGAGAGCTGAAGGGCTCAGGCACTTGTACAAGTCAAGTCTTGGAAGGTCTTACTCGTGTTCAGTCCTTTACAAGAAAACTTTCACATACATTTTTTGTTTGTTTGTTTGTTTGTTTGTTTGTTTGTTTAAATAATGGAAAAAAGGGGAAACTTGTAATCACTCTAACCAGTAATCTGAAAGGGACTTGGGAGGAACAGAATGATAGAGCTAATAACCACCATAGGACAAGGCAAAGTTAGGATCCCAGCTCCCAGCGTGAGCTCATCTACCCCACTCAGCTTCAGCCCCTTGGCTGGGTCCACTGTCCGCACTCTGGTAGCTTTGTCAATAAAGTTTTTCTTACGGGCTTGAAAAAGCCGGAAAGAGGATTTGCTGCCCATAGTTAGTTAGGGCAACTTCCCGGGAGGGAAAATGAACTTCGCGAGATTTGGTGGTAGCAGGCCACTGGTCCACTACTGTGCAGCTGCTATCGCGAGATTTGGTACGCGGAGGAGGAGCTGTCGGAGGCAGCCGCCTCACAGCGATGGCGGCCAAGCAAGGCCGGCCGTGGTGGCGACTGGGGCTACGGTCGGAGGCGGCCGTGGTGGCGGTAGCGGTGGGTGGTGGGGGCCTGTGACCGGGAGCCATCCTCGGGCCCTGGAACCATGAGCCAAGGCCCCGCCACAGGGGAGAGCAGCGAACCCGAAGCAAAAGTCCTCCACACTAAGCGGCTTTACCGGTGAGAGGGGCCAGTGCGTGAGTGCAGCAGCAGAGGGAAGTAAGGGGCAGCGAGGGGTGGGGCCTCTGGGCGGGCGGTGCCTGGGTGCTCGCGGAGGTGGAGGGTGCAATTTTGGAGGGAACAGGGGGCGGGGTCCCGTAACCCGGGCTGTAGCTGAATGAAGGAATTGGGTGGGTGGGAGATTTGGATGGAAGCACGTGGGGAATCCCCTCCGCAGTGCGTAGTGAGCTCGGAGCGGGTACCCAGCTTTGCGGATTTGGGGTAAGGCGGGAATTGAGGGGTTGAGAAGGTAAAGGGTGGGGTCAGAGATGGAGAAAACCCAGGAGGGGAATAGTGTTAAGAACCTTGTAGGACTTCTGGGAAGAGCTCTGAACTGAAATCAAGAGAGCCAGGTTCAGGGCCTTGCCACCTCTCACTTTGTGACCTTGGGCAGGAGCGCCATCATCCTTAAAAGGAGAGATTTGGATTTGATAACACCCTGAAGCCCGTTATGGCTCTAGTTTTTGGGAATCTGAATGAAAAGAAAGGCTGGAAGACACTGTTGGACTGGAAGGGCTATGATGGACTTTGAGTCCTGAGAGTTCTTAGGTCATGGGAGCCCATTTAAGGGCTCCTGGGACTCCTGATTTTTGCTTCTGACCTCATGACTACAGTCTTTTGCCAGGCAACTTACATCCTTGGTTTCTGATTTCCACAGTGCCACTCCAACATCTTCAGCCCTCTGTTGGGAACAAGCTAGTATGAACTCTCCCACCCTGGGTCAAGGATTTTTTGTGTGGAGCAGCTGGAACATGGGCTGTAGAACTGGATCAAAATAGAATGAAGCATAGAGATCAAGTTGAGTTTTCTGCCTTCTAATAGGGAGTAGGGCTTGCAGTTTTCATTTAGCTCAGGCTCTACTGAACAGGACTGTTGGCATGAGAAGACTACTCTGTGATGAGCCCCACGCCCCATCCTGGCAGGGAAAGAGTGAAGAGCATGTTGTCTTTTCTCCTTTGAGAAGGCATCCTGCCTTCTCTGGCTTCGTAAGTCAGAAGACTGGGGAGTATAGCCTTTTCCCAAAATAGAAAAGTGATCCAATCCAGCAGCTCCTGGGCTTCCACTGGGCCGCCCCAGTGGTGAGGAGGTGGCTGGGGTGGGACATGTGCCTTGTCATGCTGTCAAGTGTCAGTGCTGCCCATCAGACAGCCATGGGCAGTGTCTGCAGGATTCCTGTGTCTTAGTAGTGAATGAGATGCAGGTGAAGGCTGTGGTCATCTTTCTAATCATTGTCAAATGTAGCTCTTCCTCAAGTCACAGCCTTCATAGGACTGACTGATTCAAGCTGATGTGTTTGCATGTGTGGTTAACATGGGTATCTCCGCCTGTAGTTGTGTGCTGTTGGCTTTGAGCACAGTGGAAATCTCAGGCAGCTCTCTGTTTTTATTCTTTAAAAAAAAAAGATTTTATTTATTTGTTTTTAAAGAGAGGGGAAGGGAGGAACAAAGAGAGGGAGAGAAGCATCATTTGGTTGCCTCTTGTATGCACCCTGACCGGGAACCAAACCCTCAACCCAGGCATGTGCCCTGACTGGCAATTGAACCAGCAACCGTTCACTTTGCGGGTTAGTGCCTCTCCAACCGAGCCACAGCAGTCAGGGCTCTTTTTATCCTTTATTATAGCAAGGAAGATGTTATTTCTCTGCCAAAGATAAATTTGTTCTTAGACTACAAAACTGTTAGTCTGAGCTTTAGTAAATTTGGGACAGTCCCACAGTGAAACTGTTTTCAGAAATGAAATTCTGGGGAAAAAATTTTAGATTTTATTTATTTATTTTCAGAGAGAGGGGAAGGGAGGGAGAGAAGCATCACTAGGTTGCCTCTTGCACACCCCTAACTGGGGAACTAGCCTGCAACCTAGGCATGTGCCCTGATTGGGAATTAAACCTTTTGGTTTGCAGGCTGGTGCTCAACCCAGTGAGCCACACCATGCAGGGCTGAAATTCTGAAATGTTTTAAGCTCCTTAGAAGAAAAAGCAACTGGAGAAGAGATGTTGGAAGGGATACAGGCACCAATTAATTAATTATGCCAATTAACTTAAAATATATGTGTATATATATTTTAGAGGAAGGGAGAGAAGCATCGATTTGTTGTTCCACTTATGCACTCATTGATTAATTCTTGTATGTGCCCTGACCAGGGATCAAACCTGTGACCTTGGAGTATCTGAATGACACTCTAACAACTGAGCTACCTGGCCAGGGAATGTTTTTCTTTTTTTAACACTGCTTGTCCTGGGATTACAATGGTGAATGAGACACAGGACAGTTTTGTGGTTTTGTTCTAAAGGATATTACAGTTTAGTGCAGGAGCTTGTGATCTGATGTGGAATGGAGAAAAATGTCCTGAGTACTCTCATGTTTAAGAATTTGTAATTACCCCTGACTGGTGTGTCTCATTGAGTGCTGGCCTGCGAACCAAAAGGTCGCCAGTTTGATTCCCAGTCAGGGAACATGCTAGTTTGTGGGTTGAGAGGTAACCCATTGATGTTCCTCTACCTCTCATTCTTTTTCCCATCCACTCTCTAAAAATAAGTAAATAAAATCTTTCTTTATTTTTTGAAAATGGTGAGTGGCTTCTTAAGCGCACTGGTAGAAGGAATGGCAAGGAAAGAAGAGACATAGGAAGTATTTAAATATTTTATTTATTTTTAGAGAGGGGAAGGGAGGGAGAAGGAGAGGGGAAAAATCGATGTGTGGTTGCCTTTCATGTGCTCCCTACCGGGGACCTGGCCCACAACCCAGGCATGTGCCCCAACTAAGAATGGAACTCGCAACCCTTTGGCTCACAAGCCCACACTCAATCCACTGAGCAACAGCAGCCGGGTGCAATAAATAAAATATTTTTTCAAAAAGAATTTGCAACTAGAATGTGTTAGAGTAGTGGTTATTAAACTGTTTGCATTGAGGATCTAAGGAGAGCTCTGGAGCCTGTCCATAAAAACACACACACATACACACACTCCTCTCACCTACTGTGGGCTGAAGTTAAAAACCCTGCCATGGGGACTAAGCTGGTATGGAGTAGATCACTGATTGCTGCCTGACGCTGCCCCTGGCATCAAGGGCCGGGCTGAGCAGAAGTGCTTGGCTCCCATG